CAGGAATGACAGGCGTGGGGAAAGAAGGGCTGCGGTTTGCTCTTTTCCCCACAGAACAGAGAGAAGTTTGCTGACTTGAAAAAAACCAAACAGAAAAACCCCAAAGAAACATTTCTGGCAGCCGTGAGGAAGGCAGATGGGACCCGGGGCGCCTGGACCAGCTTGCGGGCTGGCCGAGCGGGACAAGGGGAGGCTGACACGGATGAAGGGGTTCAGACACAACGGCACTGCAGAACCCCGGGGGGAGAGAAAAACCGGCGGAGATGCAGGACTTGTCTGCGAGCACAGGAGTTACCTTCAAACCATAAGGGAGTAAAAGACGAGGAGGTCAGCAGCATCACCGGCCCGTGCAGCAAAGGCCATTAAACAATCCCCAGGAAAGCTCATTTGCCTCTATCGAATAAAATGGGAACTCTTCTCTCCATCCCCTACACTTTTTACTGTGGACAGCCCGGAGCAGCTGGATGCCCGGGTCACCGCTGGTTACCAGCGTCTACCGCGGGATAAGAAACCAACGGGGTTAAGGTGGGAGCAGTTTTCAAAGCAGAAAGTAAATGGTCCTGCAAGACTGCACGGAAGAGCAGCAGGACCACGCAGGCTGATCCCGCAGCTCCTGCCAGCGTGGCACCCAGGGGATGGCGGAGGGGGGACGGGGGGGGTCTCAGTCGACGCTCGTGTGCCGAGCCCCGCGTCCCAAGGCGGGCTTTTTCTCCTTCCATAAGCTCAGCCTCTCTTGACTAGAAATGAGGCTTCCTGCCGCGATTTTATTTGGTGAGTTGGAACAGCCAAGAAAGGCAGAGAGATGCTTCCTCCCCCTCCTAGCGCCGCTCCAGAGGCAAAGCCACACGGTTTCTCCTAGGAAGGGAGATGACCCTGTTGCAAACAACTCAGTTTTCAAGAGTTTCTGATGAGGAGCAACTGCCCTGATAACCTAACGCTGATCTCCAAAATACTGGCCCACAGAACACAACGTCCCTGGGAAGGCACCCGCAGGTACAAGGAGATGACAAAGCCCTGCGGTTCTGCTAACCCCACGTGGCTCATGGTGCGCCAGCAGTGAGAACAAACGAGCTGTTCAAATGTGGTTCAAGGATAAGGAATCCTTTAAGATTTGTCCATTCTGCTGTAGAAGCTGTGCGAGCAACACAGGCAAGAGCTTCGCGGGCTCAAGAATGCAAGGGGGAAAAAAAAAAAAAAAAAAAAAAAGCGTTAACTACGGAGCAACCCAGGGCTTTATAAACAGATTCAATGCAATTCTCAGCCATGTCTGCTCAGAAGGCACAATCACGCGTGATCTCTGGTTGCAGTAACTACTGCTGCCTCCAGCACAGTTCACCCATCGTATGGACGGTAGGGAACTGGCAAGTTTTCTTAATTAAACCTCTGCCACGGTTCACCGCAGTCCACAACCAGGCAGGAGTCCCGCTGGAGCCAACAGGCATTTGGGGCAGACTGTGGATCGTGTTTTCCTGCGGAAGATCTCGCCCCAGAACCAGACGCAGCCAGCCAGGACAGCGCCGGTGTGAGTGCTCAGCCCCACCCCGCGCCGCCTCAGGATGGGTGCCACTTCCAATGCTGGCAGGGACCATCCTCCCATCCCGCCCCAAGGGCAACGTCCACGGGCTACAACAGGAATTTTCCCTGCATTAATGACTGCCCAACATTTGTTTTTAAAAAGAGAGGAAGACAGAAAAGAGATCATTAATAGCAGTACTACGCACAAAACGCTGCAAGGACCAGAACACTCAGCAATGAAACACGTCCTAAGCAACCTCCCAGGCAGGCGGGCAAGTCCCCGCCGAGCCCAACAACGTCCCCCCTCTGGCGGGGGCTTGCCACTGCCCGCAGCGAGGGCTGACCTGACACCGGGCAGGACGAGCCAGAGGGTGGCTCAGGATGAGGGGTTGTTCTTTGGTGCACGTCTCGCTGTAAGACACAAGCTATACATACCGATCTCCCGGAATATACCGTTAGCCCATACAAGACTAGATTATTTTCTTTTTTTCCCCCCCCAAAGAAAAAAAGATGTCAAACTGCTTGCACTTCGGCAGATAACACATGCACATTTAACCCTTTTCTAATCCACTGACTCCCACACTAAAACGCGGTCGGTTTGGGAACAAACTAACAAAGAAAAGTAACCCATGCAGCAAATCTACTTAATTCCCGTGGGTCGTCTTGTCCGGGTTCCGCTCTATCAGGCCAGATACACGCATTGCAAGATGCCAGCGCAAAATATCTGCCTCTGCAAAACAAAAACGAACCCGAGAAACCTGGGGGCTTGGGACTGGCAGGAGGAATCCTGAAAGGGGGAGTGCCGTGCACAGAGATCTGCAAAATCAGTTATTGCATCAGCAAAACCAAGCCGAAACAAAAACCAACCCCCCCCAAAAAACCATCCAAACAAAACACTGTCAACCATTAAAATAATAAAAAACATTTTTTTTTTTGACATAGCTATAAAAATTAAGTCATTTATAAAACTGCAACAAATGAAGTCCAGTTGGATATTCTTTTTCCTTTTATTAGACAGGACAGAGAATTTCCTTAAAATGCCATAACAAGTCACAGTGATTTTAGATGGTTTTTTTTGAAATGTAATATATTGACGGGAAATACCTTTAACGTGGTTTAACGTGGGGTTTTTTTTTTTTTTTGTCACTGTATATGTACCCTGGTCCACCAAACCATCTATCTTAAATTTTCTTGTTTAGAGAGGACACTCTGTCTTCTTCCTCCAAAAATGAATTTTGTCTAATAATCCTGCAAAATAATCAACCTTACAAAAGGCCTTCTTCAAATGTTATATTTATATATATATGTATATACATATATATACACACACATACACACATATATATAAATATAGACTTCTATGATTTTTTTTCCCATTCTACGCAATGTCTCGATAAAGAGATCAGCAATTTTTATTCTACAAAGAAGCAACACATAAAAGGGGAAAATTAAAGTCTTAAGAACATCATATCCATATTTCACTGATTACACATAAAAGGAAAAAAAATCACCATGAACAACTGTCTTTGAAGTTTTCTTGGATTAGCAAAATTCAAGTGCAGAGAGGCCCCGTCTCTCGCTGCTGGGTTACGGGGGGGTGGAGGACACCCCAGCCTGGCATCCTGCCACTCGGCGTTTTCTGCACTTCCCTCCCGCGAAGTCAGACGTGGTTGGAATGTATGGAGTTTAGGAAAGGTTCCCAACAAAGACCTCGCCGTCGGACGATCCCCTCTAGGCCAGCTTCAGTGTGCTCACTGGGAATGATGGCATGGTTACCATAGTCACTGGGTTTAGGACCGTCTGCCCAACCAGCTGCGGGTGATGGACAACTTGGGTTCCTACAGCAGGCTTGGCCATCACCGCTTGCTGGCCAAGGTTTGTGGTTCCATTCACTTGCTGGTGCGAGATCGTGTGAGCAATATGGCTCACCACGGGCTGGCTGACGGCCACGGGCTGAGGGTAGATGGGCAGCTGCTGGCCCAGGTGGGCCATGTGGTTGATGGTGGCGGGGTGCACAGTGATGTGGCCGATAGGCTGAGCAGCAGTGGTAAGTTGCACAGGGCTGGACGTGGAAGGTGCAATGTGAGCAATGTGCTTGGTCTGTGGACCCTGAATCACGTGGTTGACAGTCTGAATGACCGAAGCATGGGTAGTGGCGGTGTGGGCAATAACAGTCGATTGCACTGTCGAAGCCGCCACGATGTGAGTCTGTGCAGGGACGATCGCCTGCGGCTGGACCAGTGCTTGTGTCTGGATGGGAGGCTGTGCGTGGGCTGGGGTCTGTTTCTGCTGGATGGACAGGTGCTGAGGCAGAACCGCCGGGTGGTGGGAAGCAGCGTTTGAAGGGACGGCTTTCAGGAGTTCTGGGTGCTGGCGCTGGGTTAGTTTTGGTAATGAGTTCACTGGCCTGTCATCTTCCATGTCTTCATCCATGTTGTCTTCACCCTCTGGAAAAAACGAAAGGAAGAAACTCCCATAAAAAAGAAAGCAGAGCACGAACTGGACTAACCAGCCTCCCTAAAAGGCAGCCCAGGCGGAAGAGACGGCAGCAGGAGGAGTCACTGAACTATGGGCAGGCGGCATGGCGCGGCACGGCACGGCACGCTCCACCGAGCCCCAGCCCAGGGGGCGGCAGACCCCTCTCCTCCCTGTCTGTGGGCCAAGGACCTGGAGCCAGGCAGGCGTGACTAGCTTGAAGCCCCAGGGGTGCTCACAACAGGCTGAGAGATCTCGCTCGGCGGGCAAGGGAAGCAACGTGAGCAGAGGCAGACGGAGAGCACCTGGGCTGAACTCCATCTGGGCTGAGGAGGGCTCCTTCTGGGAAGAAGAACAGGGTTTCCTTTCCTGTCCGGTTGTTCCACCGATCGGTACCACCCCTTCTGCTCCCAGAGCAGGCAGGAAACAGCCATGGAGAAACATGGCAGCAAGTTCCTCGTCTGGTTCTGGAAAATGGACTCTCGTCCAGTCCGCGAGCTAACGAAGCAATGCAGGAACACGCTGCCCCTGCGGAGATCAGGAAGACGAGCAGGGCGCCTTGCACTGCCTGCTCTAAAGCCAGCTGTGCAGCAGAGATTAAAAATCTCAGCGGATAGAGAAGCAGCAGGAAAACCAGGGCAGACACTTCCCTTCTGCACGCTCTGTGGTTAGGAGGAGCTTGAAGCGATCATTTTCAGCAGAGGCCAGCTGGGGAGGTGAGCGGCTGACACTCCCATTGACAAAGCACTCCTACTCTCAACTTCCACGAGCCTACGCTCCGAGTCTGCGAGTATGTTCAAGGTGATGAGCCCGATTACAAGCCCGAATGAACCAGAAAGCTCAGGTTTTCCCTTCCTGGAGCCCGCTGTATCGTCTGCCTGGAGTGCCAAGAGCAAATGCTGTCGCGATTTGAAGGAACTGCTGCAAATGGTTACGGACTGCTACAGCCTCCCCGTCTCTGGATAGCAAAGCACTGTACATCCACGGGCTGCCTATTCTTCCTGCTGCAGATCACTGGCATGGAGAAAAGCATGCACTCTCCTATCTCACAAAACCTTCTTACTGGGAACAGCAGGCCAGATACTCATTAGCATCATTTCATCTTCACTGTGAATCCTTTTCACACAACGTGAAGGCTCAGTAAGTTGTTCACATGCTCTGGTGATCCTTCCTGTACCAATTCCTTCTCCTCTACGTGGCTGAACACCCTCCCACATCCACGCACAAACACATCAGGATGCGCATTCACTGCTCAGTTCTAACGAGCAGGGATGCACAGTTGTGCAAGAGGAAAACTAAGTTTTGAAAGCCGGGAGCTCCATGTGAGGTATCAGCAGACTGAACGTGCAAACCTGCACTTCATATCTACCTAATGGCGACGCGCGATTTTCGGTTTACTTTACACAAGTGGCAGTGTATTATTAGGGCAACGTCAGTGAAACACTTGAACCGTTCACTTAATTCTAAACGCAAAGACACCCTGATGGTACTAAATGAAGATCACCACCGCCACCACCGTGTATGTGTGTCAGTGACATAGAGCAATGATTGCGAGAGTAATTACGGATACCTGATGCTGTCGAGGTAGATGCCTGGTCATCCTCTGGCTGAACGGTCTGTCGAATAATTCTGTCAATCTCCAAGATGTCCATCCACTGGCTCAACTCGTTCTTCAATTCTGCCAGTCGCTGCTGGGTAGCAATCTTCTCTCTTGCCAGCCGCTCCATCTCGTGTTCATATTCTTTTTCCTTTCTCTTTAAAGTCTAAAGACAGAAGGAAGAAAAAGAAATAAAAGGAGAATGAAGACAAATATAATCTACACTAAACTGGTTGCTCCCACGTCCACAGCTGGTTTTCTTTTCTCACCAGTTATGCTGGTGTAAAACGTGTTCAGATACAGCTACGCCCTTCAAATTCAGGCAGAAAGGGAAAGGACGAGAGCTGGCCACGAAAACCTAAAGGGTTTCTTTGGCCAACCGTTTTCTGCCTGCTGAAGGAAAACTGATGAGCCTCCAAAACTGAAACACTTAACCACATCAGGTGTGAGTCCCTTCAGCTCCGGGGGCAAATGTAAAGCCTAGAACTCCTCAGGAAAAGCCGTAAGGCTTTTTCTCTGGAAGAAAGTATTTCTGCCACTCTAAAGACAGAAAATGAAATCTTCTTCCTGCATTCTTCCTCTTTTGCTCTAACCTCTCCAACAAAACTAAAAAATTAAGAACCAAGAGTGCTGAACCATGACTATGACTCACATCTGTAACGTGGAAGCCAGACCCTTCCCAGCAGAGCGCTTCCACCCTGCTGACTTCCTAAGCTGAAGGCAGGACCCTGATGGTACGTGTGTGCCGACGCTGGCAGGAGAAAACCCCTGTAAGGACCCCAACAAACGGCTCGTGGATGCAGAGCGCCCGTGGGGCACCGAGCTGGCTGTCCGCGGCCCCACACAGGTATTTGTTGGAGCTGCAGCAACATAAGCCTGGACTCTCTGGTCACTCCTCTCTTCTGTTTCGGTCCAAGGGAGCTCCTTGCTGCACTTCAACATCAGCGCAGAGCAACAGGGCTCAGCACTCAGTTCCCAACACCAGCCCCACTTCACCTGCCTTACAAAGTATTTGAAAAGGATTAGAGCTCACGCAGACTCGTGGGAAGGCGTGAAGGGAGGGAAATGGGGGCAGTTCCCTCCGATCACCAAGCGAGAGGACCTGGCCAGTTATAGCCACTCGGAGGGGGGGGCTATGGAGTTTATACTTCATCCATCTATTCCCAAGCATCCCTAAGGAAAGGAAGCATCTACACAGAGAGCAGTGCTCCTGCACAGCGAGGGACTGCGGGCTCACAGCTTAAGAAAGGTGGAAAAACCCCCCACATCTTTGCATGAAGACAGAAACCTTGTGCAGAAAACTCTGCTCTTACGCGGGAAGATAAACCCACGGAAATACTGAAGTATTGCAAAGACAAGGTGCCCAGGCAGAGAGAGCATCTGTTACTAAACCCACTGACAGTAGCTGGGGAAAAAAGACAAGCCTCGGGCAAGACCAAGTAGGTCCACACAAAATCACAGTGCGCTTCCGCAACCAGCACATAAAGCATGGAGAGAGAGGGAAATTTTACATGGTCAGAAGGGAAAAAAAACCAAACACAAGTACTAATTAGCTTCTGAGCAACATGAACTGCACCAAGAGCTCCTGACCCAGAAGAGATGGCCAAGACCCCACGACACCCTGCACCATGGGGGAAATCCTGAAGTCACGTGCGGAAGAACGGTGTGTGTTCTCCTCTTCCGCTAACGCCCACTCGGCGCTGGAAATCTGACCCGTTCATCAGCCGGGAAGAGATGCTGCATCAGTCAGCACGGCACACAAAAATGCTGAACGCCGCCCAGTACTGTTAATGGGAAATATGAACCACACAGGTCTGATGGGGACCAATGAATGAGCAGTGCAGCAGAAAATCAATAGCTGATCTTCACCAAAGTTACTGGTTTATGAGATTTTTAAGCCCACGGTGTAGCACTGAATAGCAGGAGGACAGAGACCCTGTCCCCCAGCCCAGGCCAGCATAAAAGAGACAAAAGAAGTGAAATCTGCAAAACCCCGTGTAGCCTGCCTGTTCTCTAAAGCTATGCCATCAGGAATCTAAATCACGTACACGTTTCTGAAAGTACCAGCTATACAGAGCCTGCACAGATCCATTTTTTCACTCGCTGCTGGCAAGCACGGAATTTCAAAGCAAACCTTACCCTTAGTGGAGCTGCAGAGGATCAGGCTCCTGATCTTCCAAATATGTGCTCTTTATTTCGTTCTCGAGGACAACCGCAATCAGAACCTGACCTCATGCATTTCGATGGTTCTGCTGGTCTTTTATCTCAAAAGTTAGCTGGGAATAACTTTAAAGCCTGTTCAGCCAGGCCTTTCATTCAGCCTAAGCCAACACAAGTACTAGGGTAGCTCCTGCCTTCTTCTTATAGAAAAGTAAAATAATTTTAAAAGGTACCTTTGTCCTGAGAACACCACAAAAAGGAAGCGTTTTTAAAATGGCCAAACAATGCATATTAGCAGGGCACAAGCATTCCAGAGGTGTCAACAGAGACACCACCTCCCAACGAGGCTCAGGCTTTGCCTCCTGACACAGCCGGCTCTAGCTCAGCTAAAAGCCTCTCAAAATGGGCAGTTTTCGGACAAAAGGGGTGGTTCTGTCCCTCTTGCTGCTTTTCAAACCGCAAGCAGGCAGTGGATACGCCAACTCCTCAATACCAAAGTTTTATACTGGGAAATCCCAGCAGACCTGTAGCCTGCAGCAGTCAGAGGAGTTGCCGGGACAGCAGGGTGTCCGTAAGTAGGGACGAGGACTCCCGGAGTCCTGGCTCTCCACCAGCACTCACTCCTAGCCCGGAGATGGCATTTAAATCCATATGTGGCTGAAGCCAAAATCCATACGCTAGTTTGAAAGTCTCTTATCCTACTGAGTGCGGCTGAAGCCCTTTGCCTGACCCAGAAAACAGAGCCGTGCCGCACGTGTGCTTTGATCTCCTTGGAGCTGGGGGGGCGCGGGTGGGACACAGAGGGCAAAGCCAAGGCAATGAGGAAGGTGCACGCTCCTGTGCTCAGGTTTAAATACGCAAGAAGAGAACTCATCTGAATGTCTTCCTCTTCACTCTTTAATCAGGAAAGAAGCAAGTAGGAGAAAGCCTGAGACTAAAATCACTGCATACAGATACCGGAGCCCAGCCCCTCTCGGCAGCATTTCTCCCCAAGCACGTTCTCCACGCGGTCACTCACAGGGCACGATAACGAAAGGACAGAATACAGTAACGGGGCCTTCCAGGAAGCAGGAAGAAGAAATCCCACACAGCCTCGGCACCTGTATCGTGCACAGCACAAGCATACAGAAGAAAATTTGGCTTCCTTCCCTGCGGTGAGAGAAGACTCTCGGCACCAGGGGAAAGCACGACTATGAGGCATGGGCAGGGCAGCTGGTAATTAGTTACAAACTTTAATTACCGGAAAGGCAGGCAACCCCAAGCACCAGGACGAGTCTCCCGGTGAGCAGGGCCGGGGAGCTCACTGTCGCTCTCCGGGTGCTCCGCTCCTCCAGCACAGGCCTGGGGACGTGGTGCTGCTCCGAGCCCGGCCCCCCGGGCTCTG